ATAAGGATTTCAGCATCAAGACCTTTAACTAATGGGGGAAATGAATCTAGGCAGATAAAGCAAAGCCTTCACAATGCATAAACCATGGCCCAAAAGTGAAAGCAGGTTTGAATAAAGTTTGGCTTTTTCCTTCTTTTTAAATGTTTTTATTTGTCTTTGAATTTTGCTGGCATTCAGGTAAGAGAAGAATAAGAAGCCAAACAGAAGGACGGCAAGTCCTAAAGTTTCCTCTATAAGATTGTTACTAATAGGTTTTTATATTCATAGTTGTCTGGTCTACAAGTAAACCATCTTCAAATTATGCTGTAATATGAAATCTAGCATGCATTTGAACAATACTTTCGAGGTTTATTCATCACTGCTTTTATAAAGAAAAAAAATCAAACAATATTCTATTCCCAAATATCTCTTAAAAATAACCAAAGAAGAAATACACCTTTCTAATGAAAAGCTCTAACTGCTTTTTGAAAAGTTTCCTTTTATTCACTGTTTTGAGGACAATGTTGCAAATCTCTCAAAGGTGTTACAGTTGCATCTGACCCACTTTCTACCCCTCTGTGCTAATTCTCTTCAACGCTGCAAGTCATAAAATTAGCATCCTGTGATTCCCAGCATTATTACTGCAATTCAATAGCTGTATTCATGGAAATGTCAAGACAAAATGAGAATCGTTAAACTGAACATGTTAGAATATTTCATTCATAAGTAATGATTCAAAGAAAAAGGAAGAAACCTTATGAAATCTGAGCCTCTATTGCAACATGTATTATTAACTTTAATATGAAAAAGTGTCAGAGGATGATAATTATTGCTATAATATAAAATTTTGTAAGGCATACTCTGGACACATTAATGCATACTGCCTCCCCATGAAACTGAACACATCATGGCTCACAATGAGCTTTTTAGAGAGATTTCAAATCATCTTAAAACATCTTCAAGAGGTGCTTCATAATGCAGCGGGGCTCAATGCCAGCAAAACGACTCAAAAGCCAAGACAGGACTCCAGTGGCACAGCAGGTCACCACCCTGTCCCCAGAGGGCATGAGGCAACAAGCCAGAGAGTGAATAAAACACTCTTCCAGTAGTCTCCAGCTCAGGCAATACTTTTTCTGAATACATTCCTGAGGTCTAATTAACTACCAGCAGTCATGGGCACGGTCACTTAAAAGTTTTTTTAAAGCCTCTTCTCTGCAAATCCCTCTCCTCAAATGCATTGAGTCAGCTGGAAAACTCTGCTACTTCTCAAGGCAAAAATGAATAAATTATTTTATTGCCAAGTTATAAACTAATTATCTCTGAAAAGCAAACAGTGCTCCTGAGGAGAATAGGAAGGATTCTGATCTGACAGACAGCACTTAAAACTACAGTAAGACAGCTGAAATGTGTGCAGTTGCTCTATTTCACACCAATGTGACTGAGACCCGAATGAGACCCAAATGAATAACACTGATATTTGGTTTATTTTTTAATAAATCTTTTGTTCTCATTATACAGTACACAGGTACTCACTGAAATGCACTTTTTTTAACCTTCAACTAAATTAAATTTTAATACTAATGTACCTGACAGCATATATGAAACATTTCAGTGTTATGCTTACCAGAATTCCACCGGAAAAGATGGTATGGCAAAATACACGTATTAAGCCATGCAAATGACTTTATTAAAATGAAGGAACAAAATTTTGGGACCTGTTAAATCTATTTTCTGCTTTTAAATGGCACACACTGGCATTTTCACGGTTCCCTAACTTGAAACATTTATTTAAAAAAAGGAAAACTTCACAAAGAGATTAATTGAGGTCTCCTGAAACATAATTGGGAACTTGAAAAACTGCACTGAGGTTTAGAGAAAGTCATAGATAATTTGCTTGACATACCTTGAAATGCATGAAATAAAATACTATAGCTTGTATGGTTCAAGACAAATGAACAGACTTTGGCCGTATACTTGAATATAGGGTTTCTGAAATCAGCCTTCTGGAATTTTAAAAAGCAACTAGTTCTTCCACTGCTCTTTTCTGAAACGCAGATCTACTGAAACTAGAGATGAATCCAAGTGTTGATTACCAGATTCAGAATGTGGCCTGCAGCAAGAATTTATACCAATTTACCAGTATATTGCCTCCCCCCAAAAGCAGGAAATCCTGGTGCCCTCCTCTAGTGACAATCATCATATCTGCTTTTATTTTAAATCACTAAGCTATGTGAATCCAACCAAATACCACAAGAGACTCAAAATAAAAAAATGTGTTCATTTGCACTCTGCCCAATCTCTGTTCTTTTTCTTTCTAGTCACTTCCCATAGTGCAATGTTTCTTGCCTGTGAAATCCAAGGCTGTGGCATCACAGAAAAAAAAAAATCTTACATCAAGTTATAAAAGTTGCCATCCCCAGCAAAAGCCTGAGAGTAAACATACTGCTTACAATTAGGATTCTGACAGGTCCCTGCGAGAAGCAGAGTCTGGAGCCAGATGCAAGCACAAAGCAAACTTTTGCCCCCTTAGGTAACATTACAGGGAAACCCAGAGTAACCCACTTATCTTACAAGCAGCAATAGTTGCAAGCTAAAGAGCTACTAACAAAAACATAGGATGACACTAAATATAAAGGATTAGTTTCAGCAATGCTAGAAGGGAGAAAAAAATTGAAAATAGAATATTGTAAAAGCAAAAACAAATTGTAAAATAAATATTTCAGGATTTAAACTAATAATAGAAAAGCCCATAAATCATCTTTACAATTGCTGCCTTTCCTACCAAACATCTATCCTCTCCAAATGGATGCCTATTACCACGTCGTCAGCATACATTATGGGATAAAGAGGACTGTAGGAATCTAATTTACTACTGTGGGGAAGAGACGTCAGAGATAGGGTTAGAGAAGTCACAGAAAATCCTGGAGAGAGTTGAATTTTTCTAGGAGACTAAGTATCACTCTGCACACTGTGATTTTGTATAGAATGACATGTAACACCAAGTCAAGACAGCCAAACCAAAGGTTACCTTCCCCTCAAATTCTGTCCTGTTTAGGGCCAGGAACCTAAGGATTTAAGGCACTGGAGGGTAAGAAAGGCAGGCCTGAATAAAAGGCACAGCCAACCATAAAAATATGATACTGTACAGTGCCAATATTGGTACTAACAAAAAATGCAGCTGAAGAGGTCTTCCTGAAAGATTAAGTGGTTCTTGTGATTTCTTATCTATTTCAGGTAAGAAATAATGAAAAAGAGTAATTTCAACAAGCCCATAGAGCACAGTGCAAAGTGTATTTGTTAGTGAGCTCATCACAGTGATGACAGGCTCTTAGACCACTGATGTTTCTGACATTGCTCTGCAATGTGCCCACTGGAATAACTGTCTGTAAATTATAGAAAATCAGACTCAAACTCTAGAAAGCACTTTTTTCAGCCAGATTATTTTTCTTTTTCTATGGCTGCCTTGTTGCCAGTCCCTCTGCATCCAGAGGCCTCAGGCCCTGCGGCACCAATAGCCACTTAAATTCATTGAGCTCCTAGCATCACATTAACTGTACCTGTTTGAAAGCTGCAGGAGTGAATTTCTACAAACACATTCCAGAGCCCAAGTCCACCAGCCAAAGTTGTATTTTAATTTTAATTTTCTCCTATCAAACTGCCATATATTGCATGACAGAATGGGCAAAAAATTAAGGCCACCAAGAGTGCATTAGTAAAACAACATGTCAAATGATTGAACCACACGCTGAAGCAAATCAAAAGTCTACCTCAGTTCATAAGATGTTTCTGAATCGCATGTATGCCTGCTCACACATTGATTTTTTTTTTTACTTTGCTAATAGTTTACTGTTTCATGTGATTTTTTTGTTTATTTCATTGCATTGCTACATCATAAATTGTGCCATATACTAAGAACAGCAGCTCATAAATCCTGCGTGACAATTTACCCACACTGTTCCATAAGCAGGTGTTTCAGAAAAGCTTGGTCAGCCTTAAGTAACTCTAAACATAGTATTATTCACTGACACTTGAATTATATTTGACATAAGCCTACATCAAGTTTTTGGGTTTTGTGTGTACTTTAAAGAGTCAGGATTTTACTTTTTCCTTCGTTGATAGTCAGCAGAAGAGGAGATGATGGAGTGCATAGCCTGGGGTGGGAAACTTATTCACTTGTTTCCCAGTTTCTTTTCTGGACAAATCTGAGATACATTTATGATCAGCAGTGAGTCACGGGATGTAGCTACAGGGATCCCATAACAGCTGTAATGATGGCAAGTATAAGAGAAGCCCCTTGTTCAGCATTTTCCTTCAACAGGATAAATTCAGATTCTCCTCGTATTTTAGGAGTTCAGAATTCACCCACCATCAGAGCAAAAGTTTTTGTTAAGTTCAGCATCCTGTGCTTATTAAAATTTCATCACTAAAGTTGCCAAAAAATAAGTCTTGTAAATAATGCCCAGCATGGCCTCATTGACAAACACCTAGGCAAGTACTGAACAATCAGATATGGGCAGTCCAGTCCTTCAGATCATGGAGAGCAAAATCTGGGTACATACAGTAGAAAAGCAGCAAAGTAAATGCTGTCAATGAGGAGAGGAGAACCGGAAACCTAAAGGAGATGTCCAAGAAACACAGAAAGGTGTTTTATACAAAAGAGAAAGTGAGTACACACATGCAATCATACAACTGGAACAGGAAGGGCACAGAGAGCATATAATCTTGAAAGCACTCTGAAGTACTAAAACTTACATCTCTCATCTATTGTTACACTCAAAATTCTGCTTACCAGACACCTTAAACATACAGAAATAGCATCATCTCTTTGAGCATACTCTTTTTAACATGCCCCACTTGTGCATATTTGAAGACAGGCCAGCAAGACCGAGATGAAGAAGGGAGGAAATGCACTGACAACGTTTGAAATGCCAATGGGATGAGGATGAGCCTGAATTCAAGGATTCTCATGTATGATCCAACCTCAGGGTGGGGGAGGAAAGAACAGCAGCAAAACCTCTTACCATTACTACTGTTATCATCAACTAAAATAATCTCTTTGAGCAGGTGAGCAGGAGTCCGGTCAATGGCTGAATGAATGGATCGCAGAATCACAGAGAGAGCTTCATTGACAAATATGAATACAATGCTGACCTCAGGAAGCCTGTCAGGAAATGTAAGGTTTCTGCACCTGAAGAAAAAGGTAAAAAAAAAAAAGAACAAACAAACAAAACACCAAGATGTAAATTGTTGGAAGTCACAATGTCAACACAAATTGTTTCAGAGAAATCTATCCCCAGCCATAAGACTGATAAGAGAGCTTTTGTAGGCACAGATCAGAAGGTCCCCATACCTGCTTAGAGCACATATGGGCAAGAACCAAATGAATTATTATCTAAAAAAAGGAATCCCTGAAAACAATCTTGTGAATCTGCCTGTGCAACCAAGGCCTAGAGTGAGCTCACTTTTCCACCCGAGGCCCAAAACACTGCAAACCAGATGCAAACTCTTGTTTAAAGGCAGCTTCCAACAGCAGTTCACAATGCCTTTCTGGACAGCGCAGACAGGAATAAACAAGAGACTTAGCCCCTTACTTTTAAAAGCATCTGCTTAATAGCCACGTTAATTGTTTTTGCTACAGAATCTACCATCTATGTCAGTCAAAATCAGAGGTTTCTTTCTCAACTCAATAATAACACAGTAAAGATCCAGGTCCAAAGAACATCCTGCTACAAAAGCTAAGACAGACAGTGTAGCCAGAAAAACAGGTACAAGGATGGAAAACTTATTTGTAAGCTCAGTCAAGAGGTTTAATCAAAATGAGGAATACTCTCATAACCTGGTGGATTTTTCTTTGCTTTTTAAAAAAATATATATCTTAGCCACAATCCAATTTGCTTATGCAAACAGCAGTATGGAAGTGCTGCCCACAACTTTGAAGTTCCTTGGTGTTTTATTGTTTTTTTTCCTTCCTTCTTTTCAAAAACGATTCAGATTTTGTAATTTTATGAAGAATAGAAAAGAAGAAAAGAATAGAAAGCCTTTTTATGAATTTATATCTTTTAAACTGCCAGCAAAACTGTTGCTTTTCTAATAAAGCCACAAGTTAATTAAGTAAAAGTAATTAACTTTTCTCTGAAACTTTTAGTATTTTAATGCAATGTTTCTGAACAGCAATTCTACCTTTTTCTCAGATCTGAAACTATTTACTAGGATGAAATTAGGCCACAGGCTGACCCAGGCATCATTTCTAGATAGGCTCTGGAGATGGAAAAGATTGATGTTAATGCTCTTCTCTGCCGCCTGACAACATTGAAGTGGCTATCTTCTCTCAAGATGTCTAGATTCACTACATCCAGGGACTCCTGAAAGCTGTGGAAAGCATTACTAACAGCCAATGTTTAGCATACAGAAAGCATGGATGGATTCAGAGTTCTTAAACCATGCTTGAATATGACTCCTTAAATAAATTTGTTCTTCAGTTTGAAGAGAAAGCGTAGCATTTTTTTGGATTTTGTAATCTGTGTAGTCAATAAATACAGAGAAGTATCGCAAAAGCATTACTCTTCACATGCTGGTTGTTGCACAAAAATTAAGTTCAATCAAGATGATGAATTTATGTGTATGTTTTTAAAGCTTCTAAAAAGAGTCAGTGTACAGGACACATGACATCCCAAAACACTGAGATACATATAATATTCAAAAATTCAGCTGGTCAACCAATTTTCTCAATTCAGTCATTAGTTGAAATTGATAGAAATCACATTAAAGATGTTATTTAATATTTCAGATACTTTTCTCTCTGTGACCATGTGAAAGAATTATATAGACAAGTAAACCAAAACACAATCTTGAAAAAGTAATGACAACAGTTTTAGTCTTAAAAGGTGTACAATACATTGTTTTACAAGCTGGTTCATCTTTCAGAAACAAATAAGAAACCTGTTCACAAAGATCCACAGCTTTTTGTTCCATGGCATTCAATACAAGAGAGAAACAATTAAAATGGTGTTTGCATTTACCAATTCCCACTTGTAGCTTGATCTTTTGGCAGCGTAACAAATCAAAACTTACTTTCCAAGTCAGTTTGTATTTCTACTGGTGTGTTACTCCTGTATTTTCACTCGTAAGGGAGCTTTCAGCTTTAAGCATCAGACTGAAAAGTTTTCTTTGAAGCTTTCAGGAGGGCTGAAAGCATGTATTCTCATAAAGGCTTACATTTGGACATCTTCTATACCTGGCCTTTAAAAGCAGGTGCAGTCATGATTCTTACTGGTTTTGGGGAGTTTTGCTGGCAATGAAGATTTTCTAAGAAGGAACTATCAACAGATTCACAAAAGAAATCTAAATAATAATCTAAATATTGCATCTTTCAGCAGATTGATAAGTAACCTCTAAAGTACATAGCTGCTCAGAAGCACACATCCAAGACAGGAAAGGAGGAGCTTTCTCCATGAAGCACTATGGTCCCTCTGAATTAATCAGAGGCACAGGTACTTTCCTAGAGATAAGAACCTGAGTGGTTTTTATGCAAAAATAAAACACTACATCAAGAGGCAGAGGGAGGTGCCTTTTCTTCCAGAAGACAACTAGTGCAAGGCAGCACTGGTTTTCTCTCTTAGCCAGTAGTTCAGGAGTTAAAACCTTCAACCAGGACAGAAAGAGCATGAGTTCAATCTTCTCTGATCTCCCCAGAGAGGTACCTAACTACTTGCCAGCTCGGTGTGAGTATTTTCAGTCCCCCTTTTCAGAGTCATTTGTCATGGTTTAACCCCAGCCAGCAACTAAGCCCTACACAGCCGCTCGCTCACCTCCCTCACAGTGGGATGGGGCAATCAGAAGCGTAAAGGTGAGAAAACTTGTGGGCTGAGATAAAGACAGTTTAAGAGGTAAAGCAAAAGCCGTGCACGCAAGCAAAGCAAAACAAGGAATTCATTCACCACTTCCCATTGGCAGGCCGGTGTTCAGCCATCTCCAGGAAATCAGGACTCCATCACGCATAACGATTACTTGGGAAGATGAACGCCATCGCTCCAAATGTGTCCCTGCCCCCTTCTTTCTCCTTCCCCCAGCTTTACACACTGAGCATGATGTCATATGGTCTGGAATACCCCTTTGGCCAGTTTGGGTCAGCTGTCCTGGCTGTGTCCCCTCCCAACTTCTTGTGCCCCTCCAGCCTTCTTGCTGGCTGGGCATGAGAAGCTGAAAAATCCTTGACTTCAAACAATATTACTTAGCAACAACTGAAAACATCAGTGTGTTACCAACATTCTTCTCATACTGAACCCAAACTATAACACTATACCAGCTACTAGAAAGAAGATTAACTCTGTCCCAGCCAAAACCAGAACACATTCCACTTTCTGTGGAGCAATTAAATGTATGCTAAGTTGGAGCGATACCAAGTAAGCCTCTCTAGCCTCATGTGTAGGGTAAATTTCTTGGAGGAAGGACCTGTATTGTAGTACCCATTCCAATGGATGTTCATGCATTTTAAAACCCTGGGCTTCACTCTTCACAGCTATCTTCCAATCGTCTAGATTATAACACCACAGTAACTCTTGTGATCACTTTTTCTCTTTCCTTTGCAAGCTAATATTTATTGTTTTCATTTAAGAAGTGCTGCTTTGGCTAAAGGAATAAAGGCACCTTCACAGAGCCTGCAAATGAGGTGTCAGGGCTGGGAAGCAATACAGAATCACGGAATGGTTGAGGTTGGAATGAACCTCTGGAGGTCATCCTGTCCAATCCCCTGCTAAAGCAGCATCACCTAGAGCTGGCTGCCCAGGACCCTATCTGGACAGCTTTTGGGTCTCTCCAGGGATGGAGATTCCACAACCTCTCTGGGCAACCTGTGCCAGTGCTTGGTCACCGTCACAGTAAAAACTGTTTCCTGATATCCTGACAGATCCTCTTGTGTTTCAGTTTGTGTCCATTGCCTCTGGTCCTGTCACTGGCCACCACTGAAAAAAGCCTGGCTCCATCCTCTTTGCAGCCTACCTTCAGATATTTATACACATTGATGACATCCTCCCCGAGATTCCTCTTCTCTAGGCTAAACAGTCCCAACTCCATAGACACACATAAGGTTTCAAATCTTCTTAAGGAGAAAAGATAGTTCTCCACACCTGCCTCCTGTACCCTAGCGTAAGTATTGTAACCTCTGAAATCATTCATTAAAGAAAGGTCACCTTCCGTGGTGAACAATCTCTGCTTAAAAACACTGCCTAGATGACTGAGGAGGTAAAGCAGGCAAAAATTGACGTGGGCTCAGCACTGTCAAATCTGAGGCCAATCTTTGGCAAATGTGAATTTTAGGTGCCACCAGGGTTAAGTGGCATCTGAAAATAGGATTTTCAATGTGTACATTTCAGGCTCAAAGTGGCTGGGAGGTACCTATACTTAATGATCACACTACAGTTTTTAAACACTAACCCTCACAGTTTTCCAAAAGATGCTAAGACCATTACAGATTCAGCTCCTTGAAGAACAGACATGTTCATGCCACACTGTGTGTGTGCATGTGCATGCCATTCTGCATTGACAAAAAAAATTTCATATGCAATCTGGGTATTATATGGATGTCATCTCTTATACGCAAGTTAGATGTACAAATTTGCATGGGCATAATGAGAAATTACTAACAAAATTCTAGTCTCCTGTACACCTTTATAAAGCTAGCCCATTTCCGTTTGATGTAATAATTGATATTTCATCTGAGTTTTGAAAATTGGGCTTCCAACAGACTATGAGCTAGTTAACAGGCTTAAATATACTGAAATAATTTTCAGTGTTAGCCTGTAAAGAACCTACAAAGCCTGTTATTTTACTGATTCACTTGCAGCCAAAATGCATAGAGAAATAAAATTGTCCAGCAAAAAAAGCTACAGCCAATCCATCTTTTAGCTGTCTAGGTTAGGCATAGTAATATTTATCCTCAGCCATACAAATGTACAAAGAAGATAAAAATGAAACTCAATGGTAAGACATGTCACCTATCAGATAAAGAGTAACACAGTGATTTCGGAAAATATTTTAAATGGCAATGAAAATACACTGAAAATAGTTCAAAGAAGTTGCTGCCTTAATTTTTTTTTCTCGTCTGTCAATAAAGCTAAGGTTAAGATATATGTAAAATATACTTTTGTAAGACATTAGTGACAAACTATATTCCAAAAATGTTCCAGATGA